TAAATATGTAGTGAAGTACGGAATATCAAAAATCTCAAAAATATTAAACATATTTAACATGTTTAATATAGTTAATATGTCTAACATATCAGATATGTTTAATATAGTTAATATAGTTAATATATTAGATATGTTAATATATGTAATAGAATAGATATAAATACAAGTTTTTTTGTAAGTTAGAAAGACAGACTAATGATTGTATAGAAATCTTCTTTGTAAAAGATAGCATAATACTACTCTTACTTTTCTTGCTTATTCTCTTTTTTCTTATTTTATTATATTTTATTAGCTTTTTATCTTCTTTTTATTCAATAAAGTATTTCTTATTTTTCTATCGTAAAACTCTTTGTATTACTATGTAAACTTCAGTCTGTAATTAAAGCTACTCATGTTTAGTAAACTTAATTCAACTTAGTAAACTAGTCATAAAATAACTAAGATTTAGTATAAAACTAATTAGAATTATATGTAAACTAAAAGAGTCAACCTCTGATACTACGTTTAACAATTGTAATCTGAAAAGATTACACATTAATAATACTTATTCTTTATATTAATAGCTTTAGTATTTATTCTACTAAGAAATAGTTTTAAAAACTATTGTTAAGTCTAAAGCACAAGTATAATAAAAGAAACTAATTATGTATTAAATTTAATTTTGAGCGAATAGATAATAGAACATTTTGTATAATATATGACTAGTATGTAAAAGTCTTTTACTTTATTCTAGACTAATTAATATTCTTTTTATCTTGATAATAGTTATTATTATTTACAGAAATTAATTAATAATATTTTTAATTTAACTTAAAATAGTTATAATTAATATTTATTTTATAATGCTTGAAATATGAGATATATTTAAACTCAATCACTAATGTATTCTAAAAAATGAGAATTTGATGTTTTAAATTTATGAATAATACTAGTTTTAATCCTTTTATTAAGATTTTATATAGAATATTGAGAGAAGTATAGCATTTAATAATATTATAAAAAGCAGTATATATATTTGTTAAAAGTTTAAATTAAATATGTTATTTTATAATATTTATTTTATAACTAACATATATACTTTTTCTAAGTTTAATTTTAAATATAAGTTTGCAATCAACCTAGTCTTGTAAAAAGTTTTAAAATTAGTATAGTAATAGATAAATCATTATTTTTACTCATCATATTATTATCTTATCATTCTTAAAAATATAAATTAATTAGTCTATTTTAGCATTTATTTATATATTTATTAAAATATAAGTCATGATATTTTTATGTAGATCATATTATACGATATATAATATAGGGCCTTTGTAATAGAAAGGGAGGAAACTTCAAAAAAATTAAAATTTTAGTTTATAAACCAAAAATGTTCCAAATACTATAATTTGTTCAGATTTATTATTAACTCATTTTTTATTTTTTTTTGAGTTTCCTCCCTTTCTATTGCAAAGACCCCATATTTAATATTTATATATAATTAATAATCTAAATGAATTATTTAATACTTTTCAGCCTTTAATATATCTCTTTGATAAGTTTTTATTAATTTCTATATGATTTTATACTATTTTAATAGAGATTTATATTTATTATTAAAAAAATAAAAAAATTTTTTAAAAGATTTTATCAATTTGGTATTCTATTTTAATTAGTGATCAACTGAAACTAAATTTTATGATTTTATTGTTATATGACTTCATCAATTGTCATTTATATAGTATAATTTACTAATTGTATAATATAGTTTATATATATATCTATCTTAATTATAATAAAAGTAAATTATAAAATAAAATATAGATTAAAAGAAATTACAAAAATTTCATTCTAAACATCTATAATTAAAATAAAAAAAGACTGACCTTATATTCCTCCAAAATTAAACCTAATCTAAATTAAGTATATCACTTTTTAAAAAAATATACATAAAAGAAAAAAGAAGAATTAGAAAAGTATAGTTATTACTATACTAAAAATTTGATCAATAGAATCTTAAATATATTATAATACTTATAAGTATAATTAGAAAAAGTTAAAGAAAAATCAGAGGAGAATAAGTGATTTATATAATAAAATTATTACTTCTAATTATATAAATTTAAATACAATTAATTTATAGACCTTTTCTTTGATTTTCATTCTTTTTTCTTTAATTCTAATTTCTATTTACTTTTTAATAAATCTAATTTTCTATTAATTTTTAGTTTTTATTTCTTCTTTAGTAATTTTTAATTTCTAATTCTTTTACTATTAATTTCTATTATTATATTATAGTTTGTTATTATTTCTAAACTTATATTATTCTTATTCTAATATTTATAACATTTTGTTATAATTATTTTCAAATTTTTACTAACATTTTCCTAATTACAAATTCTAATTTTTTTATTAATTTTTATTTTCTAATCCTTTCTTTATGTTTTCTTTTTTATTCATAATTTTAAAGGTCATTATGTAACCTATTACATATTATTATTACATATTTTTATGATATCATTATTATTTATTTTTTTATTTTCATTAATTATTACTTCATTTTTTTTTATTCTTTTAATTTATAAAATAATTCTTTCTTTTCTTTCATATTTAAATATATTTATATTTTTTCTTAATATTTTTTTTTTTGATAATATAAATTATATAAGTATTCTATAATTTTAATTCATTGATTTCTTTCATTTAAGTTTTTATATAATATTTATTTATATTTATAGCTTTTTTCTTTTTCTTTTTTTTATTTTAAGAATCCTTTAACTATTTTCTTTTTCTATAACTTTAGTTATTTGTATTTTCAGATCTTATGATTTATTTTATATAACATTTCAATTATTATATTACTTTCTGTTATTATATTATATTATAGTTATTATATTATTTTTTAGTTATCATATTATATTTTTAGTTTTATTACTATATTTGTATTATATTTTAGTTATATTAAATAGTTATATCAGATAATTTGTATTATATTACATTATTTAATTGCTTATTCCTTTAATATCATATAACTTTTAGCTAATTATTTTTTTTTATTTTCTAATTTCTTGATATTATAATTTTTAATATTATTTTCTTTACTAAAAAGGTTATATAATATATTATTTCAAGATTTCTTAACTATATATTATTTTGGTCAAAATATTTTTAAATGTACATATAATAATAATCTTTTGCGAACAATATGATAAATGAAGAAAGTTTTATATTCAACTGCTAATATTATCTTAATTTAGATTATTATTAATTATCACTAAAATTATAAATGTCATATGACTTTATTTTTAAAAATTTTAATATATAATTGTAATAAAATAATATTACTATAAATATTAAAAAAATTAAAATTAAATGAGCGTTTTGCATTAGAAAAGAAGAAAACTACTAAAAAACTTTTTTATTTTATAAGCTAAATCTTATTTTTTTAGTAAAATAAATCCAAATTTAACATTAATTCAAAAAATTTTTTTGGTAGTTTCTTTTTTTTCTATTGCAAAAAGCTTAATGATAACATTTTCCATTTTAATTTTATTAAAATGCAATAATTTTTTATTAAAAAAGAATCATTCAATTTTTAATAAAAATGATCATATTTTTTAAGTCTTATTTTTTAAATCATATGAGTCAATTGCTAGGAAAATCAGATTCTGGGAATTTTTTAACAAAATTGAAATTTTTATTGCATTTTAGTTTTTGATGTTATTAAATTAAAATGTATTAAGCTCTTAATTTAAGTCAAAAATTTCTCAGAACCTGATTTTCCTAGAAACCCTTCTATATGTATAAAATTAGTTATAAAATATTGTAAAAAAATTATAATATTTTAAAACTAGTGATTATAAAAGTATAAAATAAAATTTATTAGATTTATCACATTAAGATGCATCTAATAATAATATTTTAAAAATTTAAAATTAATAATTATTAATATATATCAATTTTCAATTATTAAATTTTTAAAAATAATTTTATAATCTAATATTACAAAAAATTAAAATTTAATAAATTAAATTTATCTTATTAATTAAAAAATATTATTTTTATATTTTTAAGATTAATAAATAATAAGATATATAAGTTTAAAATTTAATTAAAAAATCACTAAAAATTACATTTATTTTTAAAAAAATTTTCTTAATACAGGAATATAAATATCCTACTTTGATACCAATCTATTATTTTCTATTTTTAATATTTACTTAGAATACATCATAAAATTTAATAAAAAAGATATTAATTTTTTAATAAATTATTTTAATTAATAAATAAACCTAAAAATAAAATCATTTAAAAAATAATATTTAATTAACAATTATATAAAAAATCAATTAATAATTAATATTATATATTAAAATACAAAAATCTTTTAATAATAATATATATTTATTACCTATTATAAAATTTTAATAAAATTAAAATATAAAATAATGTAATTTTATAAAATACAAATATTTCAAAGATAATACTTACAATATTTAATTACTTTATCATTAAATAATTTGATAACTAATATTTAATTAATTTTTAAAAAATTATAAAAAAAAAGGAATTTAATTTAACTAATTATTTTATATTATTTATATTATGTAATTATACTATCTGATTTATAAACTAATATTCTATTTCTTTATAAATAAGCTGATTTCTGATATGTCTTTTAAAGCATATATATATATAAACCAAAATAAATCTCTTTATATATTTTAAATAAAGCTATTTATTTAATTCAAACTATTTACATTTAAATTTATATTTAATATTTATTAAGTAAATAATGTTTTATATAATAATATTAACTTTTGAATTTTTTTTTATTTAATAATTTCTAAATATAAAAATTAAAATAAATCATTTATAGTGATATAAACTTGATTATTTTTATAATCCCAATAATAATATAATGTGTTTGTTATCCATTTAGCTTAATATTTCTCAGCAATTTTTATTTTCATAATACTATCTTGCTTTTTTTTTAGGATTTTTTTTTTTAATTTTTTTGTCTAAAAATGTGAATTGATCTACAAGATAACCCAATGAAAAAATTTTTTGATTTCCTTTGGAATGATCTATATATTTTACTAAGAATGGTTTTTAAAAGTGATTCACAAATTTTTATTAATATTGTTAATACTGTTTGTCTTTTAACTGGTTCAGCAAGATCAAAACCAGTCTTCAAGTCATTACTGATTAGCAATCTTTTAACCTCAGTTTTCTGTTTATTTGGTAGGCCGTTTGCAAGCTCTATCTAATATGATAAAGGAATTATAGCTTTATAAAAGTAACGTATGTAGAGATCACTCAAATAGCCTATAATATTTGATCTTTTAGTGTTTTACCAAGATGTATATTTTCATAATCTGTGATTTCTAAAATCAGTGGCATATTCTACATTTTTCAGATATTTGTCTTGTAAAAAAATGGTTGAGTTAATGAAATAAAAACTTTATAAATGATCAATAGCACGACCTCTACTACAAGAACAAAAATATTTCACTTTCTTATTACAAATTCAGTATCTGATAATATGATAGGTTTATCACTAATGTATATATATTGCGCATAGTTTGTTTGTGAATTCTAGATTAAGGAAAGCAAACTTTAAGAACAAATAATCATCATAACTATAAAATTTCTCTAAAACTAACTTAATTTTTAAGGGCTAGGTATTTAATCTAACAATGCAGAGCAGATCATTCACTAATGAGTCAGTATATTTTATTCACATCTATTTAATATCTAATAGTTAGCGTAGCAATAATAAAAATCAAAAAAAAAATTTATTTAACCAAAAACTAAACTGGTTTGAATTTAGTTTCTCTATCATTGCCGTAGTAAAAACAGAGAGGTGAAGTAAATATCCTAGCAGATTTGGTAAAACATCAAGATTTTCTGAAGCAGTTAATGATGAAAAAAAAATTCTTATGCTTGAAAATATCACCTAAAAAAGATTATAAAATTTATATTTATCAAGTAGCTAAAAATAAAATACTCTACTTACACAAATTGATACTATATTAAAAACTTTATATGAAGTAAAATATTCTTACAGAAATGGCCAAATATTAATTATTTTAAATGTATACCATTACTTTATTATTGTTAATTAATAT